AAGTCTTCTCCGTGCGGGTAGTTAGTCCAATTCACACCTTCTACACTCGGTATACAAGAAGCAAGTACAGTACAATGGGTTGCTTGATCGATTTTACACTCAGTTTTTGCGCGCTGCAATGTGCAGTCCCAAAACCTTCATTTTCCATTTTGCATCCGACCTGCCGCAGCCAACTCCGCTTCCTTTAGACACGCTAGACTGCCCATACCGTTCTCACGACCGACGCCACCGCTCACGCACCAACGACAGCAACGACGACCCCCTCCAATACCACCACAAAACTAGAGTAGAGCGACGCCTCGACCGCAGCACAGGTCACTCCACAGGTGGTTCTGGACGAAGTTCGTCCGGCGTTTGGCTCGCCGAGCGCTGTGTGGAAAAGAGAGAGATGGCGCAGGCGCGGGAGGCTCATGATTGCGTTTCTGAGGTCCGTTGCCATCACCGCATCGTCTTCTAGGGGCGAGAGTACCGAGGATGAGCTTACGCAAGTTGGTGCCGGCAATGGTTTATATGAAGCCAAGCACATCGTCGATGTGCCGCACAAATGTATAGAGCGTCTCGAGCTGGTTTGGAAGCGACAACCCGAGGTTGAAGCGAGTGTGGGGCAATAGTCCGCCATCGACGTACAAGTGCTTGGGCGTGTGTGACTGCTGCAGCGTACGCGCCTGTGCATTAGCGCCCCGAGCTGGAAGGCTCCGGTAGAGACATATACAGTATTTGATTTATTCAAGATTATTATATGCCGTTTACTAAGGTATTGGCTACATCCTGCACCACGTCTCGTTGCGAAGGTACGTCTTGGCATACCACATGCAATATTTCTGCTTCTTTGGCCTTTTCAAAATATGATGAAGGGAGACGGTGCCCCACCGAGTGGCACGTTTTGAGACCGCCCGGATGATGCGCTTCACAGTTTCTTGCGAGAACAAGTTGCAGCTCAAGTCGAGTTGGTAGAGGTCGTCGGTAGCGTCCATCGCACGACAAAGCGCAGCCGCACCGTCGTCATCGATGCCGCAACGATCCAGAACGACACTGTCGAGGCGACGCAAGACAGGTAGCAACGCAATAAGTCCGCGCGAGCCAATCGGGCTGCCCGCCAAGTTGAGCGTCTTGAGCGACGGACAGAGCGCAATATTTTTCGCCAAAAGCTCGGCAGCAATGTGCGAACACACTTGATCACTGAGCTTCAATGTCTCGAGATGACAGCAGTTCGGAAGGACGCGGGCGAGCACAGCCATACCAACGTCATCGAGGTTCGTGTTGAAAAGCTCCAGAGTCGTGAGCCCCGGCAGTCGCTTACTCAGTTGTACGGCCGTTGGCAGTGGCAGCGCTACGTGGACAAGAGAGAGATGCCGGAGCCGAGGAAGACTCGTGACGGCGTCCATGAAGTCCGTTGCCAGCACCTCGTCCTTTTGCAGCGAGGTCTGAGTACCGACAATCAACGTGCGCAGGTTGGGGCCAGCGATGGTCTGGATGAAGCCACGCACATTGTCAATGCTCCGCGCGAACGCGTATAGTTTTTCGAACTGGCTTGGAAGCGGTAACCCAAGGTTGAAGAGAGCACGCGGCAATTTTCCGACATCCACATGCAAGTGCTTGAGTGTGTGTGACTGCAGCAGCGCGCGTACGACGGTCTGTGCGTTGGCGTCGTCAATGGGCACGTCCACGAGACCAACCGAGGTGACAGACTTGACTTGGAGCCACCGTTCAAATGCTGTGACCTCGGCCGTGGTCCACTGCGCGGAGGTCTCTGAGTCGTAGCGTAGCCACAGCTCCGTGACGTTAGAGTCGCAAAGAGCATTGAGAAGATGTAATGTCTCATCTGCACAAGCGTCAGGATGCCACGAAACATCAAGGCGACGAAGCTTGGGTAGTCTAGGCAGCGCGTCGCAGAAGTGCTGGGTTGGCAGTGTGTCGGGATCTTGTATCAATTCAATGGACTCGAGCTGCTGCGACCAGCAATTGACTACTTTTGTAAAGCCCCTGGACGGCGCGAGACGTTTTCGTGCAACTGGAATGTCTTGCGGAAGGCCAAACTGACGATGGAATTCGAGGTTGGCGTCGAGCCGGGCCAGCATCGGCACGTAAGCTTCGAAGACCGGAGCAAGCTCGTCGGGAATGGACGTGAGATTCGACATGTCGAGCGTGGGCCAAAGCCACGTCATGCTCGTGTTGTGTAGGCGCCCGCTGCGAATGGCTTCGAAAAGCGTAGCGAGCGCGGTCATCGGTTCGGTGCACCACGGGCGCGGCAGCGCCGAGAGAAATGCGCCCATCGTCTTGTTGTCTTGCACGTACATGGCGATGTGCTGGAGCACGTCGGACGCCAGATGGGCGCCGGCCGTCGTATTGCGCTTCTTGGCCTGGTGAGCGTCCGTCGCATCTAGGGTGCGTCGCATGGTGCAAAATGGAAAATGGCGTCCGGCGATGTGGCAGGCAAAACGCGCTAGCCGAATTCAGCCCCTGCAAAGCGACCAATCAGCATCGCGGCAAACCATTAAAATGCAATGTTTACGACTTGATAGAATATGCAACTTGATATTAAGGCAAGTTTCGGCCGCTTGGCACAAAATACATGAACAGAACTTCAGACTGGGTATGTGATTTGATCGATGGCAGCAATCTCGAAAGAAAGCAATAGCAGCTGATATGTGATCCGGCACGCAGAACCAAACCCGCAAATGTTCCCAAGTTGAGGCAAAGACGTATCCAGCAAATTTGTCGATTTGTTTTAAAAGCCTGTTCACAGCTCAAGCTAGCTGTTTGCAAGTAAGAGCTAGAACAAACCAACCGCTATCTCGCTGGCAAGCGACGTCATCTTTTTGCTTATTACCCCTACTTGCGATAGATATTGCACCACGAAGTGTTGGGAAGACACTCTTTGGCGCACCGCCAGCACGCGGCACGGCTGCTTCTTGTTCGCATCGATCCATACAGATTCAGTTCTCCCCACCGAACCGTGCGGCTCGCCATTGCCTTGATCAGTCTCATCGCCGCGTCCTCTGAGAAACAGTTGCCGCGCAAGTCGAGTTGGTAGAGGTGGTCGGTGGTGCCCATCACACCACTCAGCGCATCTGCACCGTCGTCGTCGATGTTGCACCCGATCAGAAAGATTCTGTCAAGACAATTCAAGACGGGGAGCAACGCCGCAAAACCGCGCGAGCCAATCGGGCAGCAGCTCAAGTCGAGCGTCTTGAGCGACGGACACTGTGGGATCTTGTCGGCAACGTACTCTGCAGCGAGACACGTCGCGTCCTTTTGACCGCTGAGCAGCAACGTTTCGAGCTGCCGGCAATCCGGGAGGGCGCGGGTGAGCACGGCGAAGCCAAAGTCGTCGAGGTTCGTGTTGTGCAATTGCAGAGACTTGAGTGTTTGCAAGCGTTCGCTCAACCGCACAACCGTCGGTAGCGGTACCGCAGTGTACATAACAACAAGGCATTGCAGCCGCGGGAGGCGCGTCATGACGTTCATGACGTTCGTTGCCATCACCACGTCCTTCGCCATCGGGATCACAGTTCCCACCGTCAACGTGCGTACGTTGGAGCCAGCGATGGTCTGCGTGAAGCCAGGCACGCCGCTGGAGTGTAGCACATATGTCCTGAGCGACTCGAGCTGGTTTGGAAGCGACAGCCCGAGGTTGTAGAACGCGAGCGGCAACGGCCCGCCATCCACGTGGAGAGACCGTAGTGTGCGTGACTGGACCAGCGTACGCGCGAGGACCTGTGCATTCGCATCGTCAAGCGGTACATAAATGAGGCGGACCGAGGAAACACGTTTGCCTTCGAGCCAGCGCGCAAACGCTGCGACCTCTCGCACACTCCACACCGCGGTGGTGTTGGCGTCGTAGCGCAGTGACACATCCGAAACGTTCGAGTCGCAGAGAGCATTGAGAAGAGCCAAAGACTCCTCTGCACGTGCGTCAGAATGCCACATGACGCTAAGGCGACGAAGCTTGGACAGTCGCGGCAGCGAGTCGCAGAGGTGCTGGATCGGCAGCTTGTCGAGACTATGCGTCAATTCGAGGGACTGCAGCTGCTGCAACCATTTCTTGACAGCATGCACGAGCATCTGAGCCGTTGTGATTTTGCATCGTCGCACTGGAATCGCTTGCGGCAGGTCAAGCTGACGGTGGAACCTGCGGCTGAGATCAAGCCGCGGCAGCATCGGCACGTAGGCTTGGAAGACTGGAGCGAACTCGTCAGGGATGAACGGCAGGTTACGCATGTCGAACGTGGGCCAAAGACGCGCTATGTTTATATTGGCAAGCTGGCCGCTGCCGACGGCCTCGTAGAGCGCAGCGAGCGCGGCCATGGGCGGTGTGAGCCACGTGTGCGGCAGCGCCCACAGAAACGCGTACATCGTCTTGCTATCCTGCAGGTACGTGGCGATGAGCTGGAGCACGTCGGGCAGTAAGCGCACGGCGGTCGAGGGCACCCTGGTCAGTGGCGCGCCGACTGTCGGGAGCGTGGCATGCATTGTTGCGGTTTGTCGTCAAAATTTGTCAAGCAACCGGATCCGGATATTATATCCATATGTTGTTCGTGGTGCCAACGCCAAAAGATACTCATGTTGAATGAATGGGACCCGTCCCGGGACAAAATGCCGACGCGTTCACTCGTATTGTGCAAAAGCTGACGATTGATCGGGCTGCTCTAGTACTAGGGACTACGTGTGCGTCTACGCCCAAAGCGTCCGTCCACCAAAGTGAGCGCCCGTGCATTCCTTTGCTGCCGCATCTCGAGATCGCGATCGGGCGCACGACCCGGTTCTTATTTCACGAGGTACATGGGGCGGCCATTGAGGGTCCAAATGATCGCTGCTGCCTGGCAGACAAAGACAAACGCGCGCTTTATCCTGATAATTCCAGCCAATCAGCGGCCCCTATGGCATCGCTGACAGCCGTCACACATTGGTGGAGTAGATCGAAATGGTCAACTCATCAGCTGCACTCAATGGTGCGCTTCAGTTGGGCAACCAGATCTTATAGTCATCTTCTCAAAGAAAACCCCTTGCACTCCTAGCAGCAGGGCATCAAATGATCCAACCACGCGCTTTGATCTCAGTTGTGCTTGATACGTTTCTTGGTCAATCACATCCCTCTCTAGTTGATATTTCCAGCATTCCCACATTGTAGGAAACTGTTTACACGCGAAATATCACTTTGATAACGCACTACAAAAAGCACCTCACACTGTGGGTGGGAAATGGAGGTATACGACGTGGTGTGGCGTCATTCCGCTACTTGACGCACGACGTGATGATGGCTTTTCCCCAGATCGCGGCGCCGCCCCTGCCGGCCGAGACGCTGCAGCACATTGCGCAGTACTTTTGCTCGTCGAACGAGATGCACGCCTTTGTGACGGCGCTGCCGCAAGAATTGTTAACGCTGCCGATGGCCGCCTTGCGCGAGCTCTACGCCTGCGTGCGCGACGGTCGCCTCGTCGACACGAGCGCAGACCAGCCCAAGATGGTGCAGCTCTGGCCCAACATGGAGCTACCGATGTCATTCACGGACGCAACACTGCCCCGCTCGGTAGCAGACGCGCAGCTCGTGGCGCTTCTCAGAACGTACCTTTCAATGCTGCCGCGCATTTCGACACACGCCGGACGCAGCGTCTCGGACGTTGTTCCTCCAGGCACAAAGCTCTGTATCGACGTAGTAAGCGCCGTGGACGAGCTTGAGCGTGCGGCGGATCTCAGAAACGTTGAGGCGTTGCGCGTCATCATTCGGGACTGCTGCGACGGGTCGTGGCCGCCCGACGCCTTTGACTATCTAAGCCGAATGCCGACGTTGCGTGAGCTCCGCGCTTGCTGGGTCCCCGTGCGAAGCACCGCGCTCCAAACCAACTTTGTCAACATGCTTGTGTGCTCGGGCATCACGCGCTTGACACTGCACTACCACAACAGCGTCAGTAAATGGTCCGCGGAGACGGCCAAGGCATTTGTACGATGGGTTTGCAACGCGCCCATTTCATCTCTGGAGCTCCGGAATCTGCCTCTCAACAAGATGAACGCGACGCGGCTCTCGGTCGGGATTCTACAATCGCGAACGCTCAAGGTCCTCAACGTAGCGGAAGATCTATCCAGTCTGCTCTTTGGCATCATCGTACATCAGCCATTCCTTTCGCAGGTGGGGCGCCTTGCCCTCCCTGCTCAGCTCGAGACACTCGAGGCCATTGTTGAACAAGAACGGGACGTTGTCCGCTTTCTGCGCGTCGTCTGTGGCGCCAACCTACGCCACGTATCCCTCTCCTGGGACGAGCCCCTCGGCGATCGCACGGTGCTCGCGCTACCTCGAGTGCTCGCCAGTCTGCAGAACCTTCGATATCTCGAGCTTGGTGGCGACCCCATTCGCCCCATCGATTTGGCCCCGCTGCGGCGCCTCGAACATCTTGAGCTACAGCAAAGTTCTCTGGGCGACCTTGGTGTGATCTCAATGGTGCGGACTCTGCCTCAGTGTCGTAGGCTCCGATTTCTGAGCCTCGTCGACCAAGAGTGCACGTATGTCACGGCGGAAGCACTCGCCGATGTCATTCCTCACTGCCCGTCGCTCAAGACGCTCGAATTGTCGTTCAACAACTTTGGCTCGGAAGGTTTGGTCGCTCTGTTGCCAATCGTGGGGTCACTCGACGCCTTGCTGCTGCGGAACAATGGCATCGATGTCGACGGTGCCCTCTTTCTGGCGACTCACATGGATGCCACAGCGCACCTCACCGATCTCGAATTGTCTGGCAATCCCATCGGCGAGTACGGTGTCATCAGTCTCATTCATGCCATGGCCACGTCGCCAGTTCATCGAGGCGGTACTGTGGGCCTTTGCAATACCGTCGACAACGCAGAGCACCTCGCACGTTGCTTGTCGTGGGCGGATGCACTCCCGAACCGGGCGTGGTGCAAGCTCGATGTCCTCTCGCACTAAGTACATACACGACACGTCTCTCGTTGCTTGTCTAGCGCTCCTTGCACGCAGTGACGACCCGAAACGCCGTGGCAAGCCGGGCCAGAAGTGAGTCCTTGTCGGTCGACAGTTGTATTTTCTCATGTCGGTTGCTGCGCTGGGGAGGAGTAATATTGCTCGATCCCTTTGCTACGCCTAGCTCTGTGGGATACTAAGCCCGGGTATAGGATTTGGATGACACGGGCCCAGCCTAGATATCGTCGACGCTATCTCCTGTCGTGTCACCAGCACGCCGTTGGAGCCTGCCACGTCATGTTGTATTTTCCACCAATCCCCAACGTGCACTTCAACGATTGGCCAAAATTGGGTCGTCGCCAACGCCATTTTCGTCGGCAAGCCCAGCAGCAGCATGGACGAGGCCGCGCTCGCCGCGACGACCGAGCAGCATGTGCTGCTGCCCGAGCTCTTCCAGCGCGTCGCCGAGTACATCATGACGTCCAAAGACATGCTCTCGTTCCTGCGCGCGCTGCCCAACGCGTGGCTCTCGGCGCCGCTCCGGGCGCTCCTCTCGCTCTATGGCGCCGTGCGCAGCCGCCGCCTCGTCGTGCCCGTCGGCGACCCGCTGTACCCAAACCACGTGCGCCTCTGGCCCGAGTTTCTTATGCCAACGACGCTCGCCGACGCCGAGCTGCAGCGCTGGGTCGAGATGGCGGCGGGGTTGCACCCGATCGTGTGCCTCGACACGGTCCACAACGCGACGCCGACGTACGAGATGCCACCCACGACCAAGCTCAAGCTGCTTGAGATTGCGACGCCGAGTCAGCTCAAGGCGGCGCTCGAGACATGGGGCCGGCGCGTCGCCAGCATCGAGCTCGACTTTGCCAACGACCACGACGAAGACGAAGACGAGTCGGACGTCTGGACGCAGGCGAACCTCGACCGCTTCTGCTACGCGCTCACGATCTTGCCCGTGCTGCGCGAAGTCGACATGATCTGGCACTACGCCGCGACGCACAAGCAGCAGCTCGCGCTCATGCAGGCGCTCAGCGCGTCGCAGGTGACCAACCTTGTGATCGAGTACGTCAACTCGCGCGTCGAGTGGACCAAGCCGACAGCGATCGCGTTCGCTGCGTGGCTTGCGCACCGTCCGGTCGAGTTTATCAAGCTCGACGGTCTCTGGCTCAACGAGGAGTGCCTCAAGATTCTCTGCGACGCGTTCTGCGCCTCGACGACCCTCAAGGAGCTCGACTTGCGCTTTGGGAGCCTCCCTACCGGCCTTTTTTACGCCCGGTCGACGCTGCCGCCGCAGCTTCAATCCCTTGGCATGGAAGTGTGCAGCTACAACGACCTCCCGGCCATCGTCGGCACGCTCCGCGGCGCCAACATCCTCGGCCTGAACCTCAGTTTTGAAGAAGAGATCCCCGAAGAGACCGAGCAGAGCGTGGCGTTTGTCGAAGCGCTCACGCGTCTCACCAAGCTCCGGCGACTCGAGCTCACACCATTTGTCGTGCCGCCGCCGGCCTTGCCGCACTTGGCGACGCTCCTGCCCCAGCTCTTGTACCTCGATCTCGAAGCGTCGAATTTGATGGACGAAGGCGTCTTGGCGATTGCGAATGTCCTCCCGAGCTGCCCGCGCCTCGAGGCGCTCCGCCTCGTCGACCAAGACTGTACGTACCTCAGTGCGATCGCGCTCGCCGCTGTCATTCCGCGCTGCAAGGCGCTCAAAGTGCTGGACCTTCCGGGCAACCGCATCGGGTCCATCGGCGCGCATGCGCTTGCTACGATCTTCCACCGGCTCGATGCGGTCGACCTCTCGGACAACTGGATCGGGTTTGACGGCGCCATGGCTCTGAGCCGCGTCATCCCCGAGACAGGCCACATGGAGACGATGGGACTCCATGACAACCCGTTTGGCATCGATGGCGCGCTCGCCATCATCTCGGCACTCGAAGCATGTACATACCGCGAAGGCAAGGTGCACATTGGTGACACGGTCGAGACGCCGGAAGAGCTCGAAGAATGCCGCACGGCCGCGCAGCGCCTCCCGGACCTCGCGTGGCTCTGCCTCGAACGCCACGACGCGGACGAGGAGCAGCATCACGATTAATTTACAAAAAATGTGAGCGTCGAAGAATCCTGAGCGTAAACTTGCATGCAGGCTGCTGAGGACCCTAGCCGCACTCGTGCATTATATATTGTCGATGGTGGGCCAACCAACGGGGTGTGAACTACAATAGTACACTAGTAGAACATCCAAGTAGGTACAAACATACCGATACGCCGTTTTCGCAAGAGCAGAATGCACTGGTCGACATGCAGCACAGGTACGAGCAACAGGTCTGCGTTTATGAACTACTAAATAGGGGAGCTAGTGTACTAGTAGGTTTTTGGCTGGAAACAAAGAGTTTCTTGGTTGTTGTGTGTTGTACTACAACGAGCGACTATGTACTTGAATGCGTGCCGGCTCAAGCCTACAACTAGGAACGCCATGTACAATAGTAGCCGGTCTTGCCCCGTAGCCCGGCGAGTAGGTATACCTGCTGCCGTCGTCGTTGCCACAGATGCGCTTCGTTTACTCTGCTGCATCCAGGAAGGACGCCGAAGCCCACGTTTTTACTACCACCGGCCCGTTGCCTTCAACGTGGTAGCCAATCTGCATCAAATAGTGTGAGTGTCGCTTGGGATCGGTAAGTGCACCCTACGTTAGCGGACGATACAGGGATACCGGATCGAATTAAATGGTTTCATCTACCAGGGTATTACGTGTGGCACTGCACAGAGCTTGGAGCTTTGTGCGCCCCACCCTAATTCTCCTACTAAAGCAAGCTACCGTCAATGTCCGCAACGCCTTCACCGACGAACGACACGGAGGTCTGGGCACGGCCCACAAGGCGCAACTGAGGCAAGAGTGGACGTGTACAGTAGTACGTTGCATGCAGCGATGCTCTGGCAAATGCCCGGGTTGCAGCTTTGGGTTGCTCAAGTACCAAGTACTCGAATCAGAAAATGAAACGAGACGTTGCCTCTTGGCCGTGGCCGACGCAAGCACTTGGATGCAAGGGAATACAACCAAGCGAAGTGGCTACATGTAGGACCACGACGCCCGCTCTAGAAGGTCGTTGGCAGTTGCTCCAGTGCGACTTTCGTTAACCGTGCACAAACCGAGTTCAACTTTGAAGCCTGAGGCCGGTTACCTTGGCAGTATCGGTAGAAGCGACAGGCGCTTAAGCGCACGGTCGATTTCTGTGCACCCAGCTCGCAGCACAGACAGGAAGGTCCGTGAACGCCAGCGTTGGACGCGCGCCATTCACATCACACTATTTCACAGCGTACGTGGGACCGTCACAGCTGACATCATGTCATGCTCGACCAATCAGCGTCGATCGAGCTATGAGAATTGGCCAATCGCACGCGTGCATTTCGCCAGCGCAGACCAGCACGACCAGTTGTGGATCCGCATTCTGGATTTGACCATGCACTGGACGCCTTGGGTCGTCGCCAGCCTTCCGGTCCTTGCAGCCGCGGCGAGCAGTCGCGCTGACCTCTGCGACTCGGCGCAGTTCCAGCGGCTCCCGCTAGCGCCGCTCGGCGACGGTCCCGCCCGCTTCAAGAGCCTCGCCAGCGCCACCGACGTCTGCTTCCAAGTCGCGCTGGACGACGCCGAAGCAACATGGCTCGGCCTCACCGTCTCGCCAACAGCCGCCATGGTCAACGACCCGACCAACGCCGCCGTCATCTACAACGCTCAAGCTGGCAACGTCGGCGTCTACACCCTTGGCGGCTACGAGCCTGAGCTCCTCACGCCGCAATCATCAAATGTAGCGGTCCGCGTGCACTCGCACACGCGCGTGAATGGCTCGCTTCAAGTGACGTTCCAGCGGCCACTTGTCGTCGCTGGCGACGTGCGCATTGATCTCGACCGTCCGACGATCCTCAACTGGGCGTATGGCCACGACGCCTGGCCCTCGTACCACCAGGACCGCGGCTCGGCCACTGTGCGCATCGACACGGCCATTGATTCCCCGAGTTTGTGCAGTTCGCCGGCGTTTACGTTGCTGCCGCTTCTCCCGCTCGGCGAGAGCCCGATCCAGTACAAGACCCTTGCCGACGACGCGCGCATCTGCATCCACGCCGAGCTGCACGACCCGCAAGCCACGTGGCTAGGCCTAGCGTTCTCCAACTCGACCAACATGGTCAACGACCCATTCAACAACGCTGTGGTGTTTGACGGCACGAACGCGCCTACCGCGTACGCGCTCACGGGTTTTGATCCCGAGTTTATGCTGCGCCTGGCTGACCAGTCGCATCTCCGCATCTTTGCCGCGTCGTCCATCAACGGCGTTCTGCGGCTCACGTACGAGCGGTCGCTGGCGGCCGTCGCGTCGTCCGACGTCGCGATCGATGTGACCAAACCGGACACGATTCTCAACTGGGCGTACGGGCATGACGCCTGGCCGTCATACCACCAGGATCGAGGCAGCGCGCGCGTCGCTCTCTCGCGTAGCGTCGTCGGCGCAACCTCGCTCTGTGCGTCCAAGTGGTTCCAGCACGGCCGGACGTTGCAGCCGCTGGACCCGAGCGGGATTCTGCAGATCAAGCACCTCGTCTACGATGGCCACGCCTGCATCCAGCTCGTGCTCTCCGATGTCAAGGCTACCTGGCTCGGGCTCTCGCTCGCCCCCAAAGCGCAAATGGTCAACGATCCGGTCAACAACGCCGTGGTCTTTGACTTCTCGAAGCCCACGCCCGCGCTGTTTGCATTGACAGGCTACGAACCAGAAGACATTTTGCCGCTTGCAGCGACCTCTGACGCGTCCTCGTTCGTGCTCTACTCGGCCTCTGTCGCCAACGGCACTGCGCAGTTTACGTTTCAGCGGCGGCTGGACGCGGCGACCGCGACCGACGTGGCCATCGCCCCGAACGCCGATGCGATTGTCAACTGGGCATATGGACATGACGCGTGGCCGTCGTACCACCAGGACCGTGGCTCGTCGCTCCTCACGTTTCAGTCGCTGCAGCTCACGTCCGCGGCCTCGCCCTCGGCCGTCTCGACCTCGACGCTCTACATTGTGCTCGGGCTCATCGTGTGGCTTGTCTTCGTGGGGCTTGTCGCGACGCACGTCTTTGCCTACCCGCTGCGTCGGTGGCTCAACACCACGTTTGTTGCACCACCGCGTTTCCAGCGCAGCGTCGGCTTGCTGCACACCTGGCTGTTGCAGCCGCTGAGCGATCTCAAGGTCGGCGAGGCCATCGTGCTTTTGCACTACGTTGGGTGTCTTGGCCTCGTGGGCGCGGCGGTCGCGGCGTCGTTTGAACCGTCGCGCGTGTGGTCGCTCGTGTCGGGCCACCTCGCGCTGGTGCATTTGATGCTCTTGCTGCTTCCTGTCGCCCGCGGAGTGCACTGGGAGGTGCTTGTCTTTGGCTCGTCGTTTGAGCGGGTGCTCAAGTTCCACCGCGTCCTTGGCCGCCTCTTTGTGGTCTTTGCTGCCTGGCACCTCTACCTCAACGCGCAGCGCATCAGCGTCCTCTCGATGACGAGCTATGGCAGCCAAGGCGTCGTGCCTTTCTTCGGCTTCAGTGCGTTTCTCTCGTTTGCGCTGCTCGGGCTCTTTGCGGTTCCGTACGTACGCCGGAATCATTTTGAGCTCTTCTACTACGTTCATCGGGTGGCGGCCGTCGGTGGTCTTGTGTTTGCGTGCCTCCACGCCCGCACCGTGTGGCTCTCGCTAATCTTGCCGCTGACGCTGTACGTCGGCAGCTACCTCTGGCGACTTCGGTCGCACTGGAACCGGTTCCGCGTCGTCTTGAGCAGCCATACGGAGAAGACGGTCACGATCGTACTGCCCTCGACGCCCCAAACGAAGGCGTGGGCCCGTGACATGCCGCTCGGCGCCTACTTTTGGGTGGCGATCCCGGCGATCTCGTGGCTGCAGTGGCACCCGTTCTCGGCTATGGCCACGGTCGACGCCTCCGGCGCACCAACGATTGGCTTTGTCATCAAGGCGACGACCGACGGCAGCTTTGTGGACGACGTGTACACGTCGCTGCTCGGTGTGGAGACCACGGTCGTTGTCGGTGGGCCGTACGGGAACCTCTCGATCAACCTCGACGAGTACGACACCGTGCTGCTCATTGCTGGTGGTATCGGTGTTACGCCGTTGCTGCACATTCTCAACCAGCAAGAAAAGACTGCCAAGTCAACGACGACAACGACGCTGCACTGGATCGTCCGGACGCCGTCCGAGTTTGGCGCCCCAGCCGATTTTTTGCCAAAGAGCGCCGACAACCTCCGTCTCTACGCTGATGAGGTGACTGAGCATGGGCGCGTGCTGTTGTCAGACGAGCGGTCGCTCTCGTACGCCTTTGGCCGCCCGCGCATCGACGACCTTCTCAAGCCGTACGCAGGCACCAAGACGTGCGTCCTCGTGTGCGGCCCGCCGGGCTTGGCCGCGCATGTGCAAGCCCAAGCGTACGTCTACGGCCTCGATCTGCACAAGGAAACCTTCCTCTTGTAATAACAAATGATACACTAGTTCTCTATCGTTGTCTTCAGACAGTCTACACCAGGAGGACAGTTGCGGGACACTGTTGTGATGTGAAATGGAGGCATCACGAAGCGTGTAGCCGCTACGACACGGCCTAAATTGCAGAAACTAACGAACAAGGCTGCTCCAAACTGTGGGTTGATGTCGTTGGTATGCTTATAATAAGAATGGACCGTAATCTTATCAATGAACGAACGTGATGGCGATGCACCAACAAGGGATGGGGTTGCACTAGCGAGACGTCAAGTGCCATCGAGGGCCCGACCGGCCGAATCTACAGGTTTAATGTGTGTGTCCGAGCAAGATCTAGCCTCCGGTTGACCTCAAGACCACGAGATCACACGTCACGGTCTAGAGGTCGGCGTGCAATGTCATCGCATCGAGCTCGAACGTCGACGCGATGACGAGAAAACGTTGATTGGTCCTATTTTACTAAATTTTGACCAATCAAAACCACGTCCGACGTGCTGAAGCCGCACCTTCCGAAGGTTTGGCACTCGGTCGGCCAAATCGAGTGGGAAAAAAATGTCGCTCCATTTTGGCACGGTGATAGTGCAAGCTTTGGAGGTCCCAAAACGCTATGCGACGTCGTCGTAGGAGGTCTGTAGCACGAGCTACCCACCGCCGGGATCCACTTCTAATTTCGGCATATGCCATATTTAGACGCCGACGACGTGCTGGGCAGTTGGCTTGCAGTGATGGGAGCTCCTCTCTTTGATACAGACAGACGGATTCAACATGACATTTAACGTTAAAGAGAAGTCCACGATGTCGCAACTCGTCGAGTAGCACATCCGACGTGTAAATACTATATCAAGGCCGGCCCATGTGCTGGCGAAGCGTCTTGGCCACTTTGGCAGCCGTCGGTCGGTCAACGGGGTCGGCCGCCATGCAGTCGGCAGCCAGCTGTTGGTACCACATTGGGCAATCGTGGCGCATACTCGGGCGCAGCGTGCCATTGCGGATTTGCTCTTGGAGTCGAAACGGACCGCCTTTGACATCCACATACGGTCGCTGGAGCGTGTCGAGCTCGGTGAGAATGACGCCAAACGAGTAAATGTCGGCTTCGACGCCATAGTCGCAGTCGTCAAAGACCTCGGGCGCCATCCAGAGCCACGTGCCAATGCCGGCCGTCATGTTGGTCGTCGCATCTTCGCGCGAGATGCCAAAGTCGGCGAGCTTGACCTCGCCTTTGCTGTTGAGAAGAACGTTGAGCGGCTTGAGGTCGCGGTGCAGAATACGGTGCTTGTGCAAATACACCAGTCCGTTGGCAATACCGAGCGCGATAAAGAGCATCGCGTTCACATCATGGTGTGGCTGGCGCTTGGCCGCGTCGAGGTACTGCCGGAGGTTGCCGCCGTCCATGAATTCCATCACGATGCTTGGCTGGCCTCGCGCCGTCTGCGAGATGCCAAAGAGCCGCACTGTATACTCCGAGTTGAGCCGGTACATGATCTGCACCTCCTTCTCAAAGGCGGTATTGTCGCTCGAGAGACTCGCGTGGAACGTCTTGATGGCGACGTCGTGGTCGCGATACCGGCCTCGCTCGACAGCGCCAAAGGCTCCAGTGCCAATGTTGCCGCTCACGAATAGCTCGCTTGGCTCGATCCAAGGCGTGTCAAGCGGGATGAGCGACCCGCGATGCGAAAGCAGAGGGCCCACCGAGCTAACGCTCGAGAGCGAGCTGCTGCTGCGCTTCGGGCTGCGCAGCCCATCACGTTGCAGCAGCGGCAAGGTTGCCTCCGACGACGACGTCAAGCTTGGCCGATGCTTCTCGACAAGCACCGCAGACAGTGTGCTCGTCTCGGGCGTTGGCGGCGCGTGGCGAAGGCAGTCACAGCGCACAAAGACATGGCCCGTCATGGTGTCGTGGGCGTAAATCGGGAACCAGCCCTCGAGGAACGTCGCATCCGGTGGCAGCGTGAGCACCGTCGTGCCGATGAGCATGTCGCCAAGGCCCCACTTGCCCTCGTCAAAGACCTCGAAGTGGATCTCGATGGGAGGCGCGTACGCGACGGCGAGGAAGCGCGCTTCGACGTTCCACACGGGCGCCGCCATGCCCTTCTTGTGCACGAGCGACTTCTTCGTGTGGCGATCATGGCGAATGAAGACGTACGGGTGCGTCACGGCGCGAAGCTTCTTGAGCGAGACGAGGCCATGGGCCTGGGACACCTTGATGATCAAGTCCATGCTCGGGAAATGACCTCGCAATGGGCAAAGTGGACCGGATGGTGGCCGCTACGTTCGCACAGATGAGTACATCGTCAAGCTTTTTCATTTCAGTCGGTCGACTCACGACGCATTATTCGCTTGCTAGGAATATGTTGATTGCCCAAAAGATGCATTCCGTCATGACAACGCATTAATGCCATGCAAACTACAATCGGTGTAGTGGTCAGCATACTATATAGGCGAATTTCGGACACGGTTTTCAGCGACGCGCATCTTTATCCGGATGCGCCCATTTCTTGAAGGAATCTCGAGATTCGCCTTCTCGCTGACCCCAATGCGCCGGCAACAACCGGGGTTGGTCAGCGTGCACTGCCCTTCTTCCCATCATTCTCTGGCTCGTGGCGAACCAGGACATGCCACTGCAATGCACCCAGCTCGACCTGCAAGCATGTCGACCAACGACTCAACGACTCAAGGATTCGGGCTGCCGTCATGAATGATGGTGTGCCTGTCGGTGTCAGACGTCCAAGTGCATCTATCCTTTAGCTCGGCTAATCACAAAATGGATGCCACGTTTGTCGGGGGCGGTGACCATGAGCAAGGAAGTGCAAGCCTTCGTACCTTAGTGCTGCACCTTATTTACTTATTCGATGCCAAGCACGCCGCCTGTCGAGAAGATATGGACAATATACAAAAAACACACAAATAACTTAGTAGATAAGATCAGTAGGATGAGAGGAATGTGTCGAGAATTGTGACAGCATCAGCAGCCGACGGGCGCTGCGCCGGGTTCTGCGCCATGCAATCGGTCGCTAGCTGTCGGTACCACGATGGACACACGGCGCTCAGCGACGGTCGAAGCAAGCCATTGCTCACGTGTGGCAAAAGCCGACTCCGCGATCCTCGAAAGTCGCTGTATGGTCGCTGGAGCGTCTCCATCTCGGTCAAAATGACGCCGAGGGCGTAGACGTCGGCGGCCAACGAGGGCGCCTGGCCTTGCAGCACCTCGGGGGCTGTCCAGTAAATAGCAAGTCCCACGGGCGCGCTTGCGCTCGGGAGGCCAAAGTCGCTTAGCTTGACGCGGTCGTTCTCGTCGAGGAGGATGTTGGACGGACGCAAATCGCAGTGGCCGACGCCTTGACCATGGATGGACGCGACGCTTCTAGCGACGCTGGTCGTGACGTCGAGCACGCGCGAGACAAGCCGTGCGGACCACGGTGACGCATGCGTCGTATCGATAAACTGGTGCAAGTTGCCGGCCTCCATAAACTCCATGACGAGCTGTGGCTGGCCCCAGCGCGTGTAGCCGATGCCGTACAGCTGGACAATGAACTTGGAGCGGAGCTTGGTTTGGAGCTCGAGTGCATGCTCAAAGCAGTCAGTGCCCGCGTTCGTGTGGTGGAATGTCTTGATCGCAACGTCTTTCCCGCGGTAGACGCCTTGCGCGACAGAGCCATAGACTCCGGTGCCCAGCGGCAGCGTGAGCACGAGCTCGTCCGTGTCAATGCGGGGTAGCTCGAGTGCGTCGCCTGCCAAGGAGGATGAAGTCGACGACGTGCTAGCTTTCTTGAGAAGCGGTCGGCCGACGTCCACAGCGCTCAGCACCGACGCGTCGACATCGTCGAACGAGCCGCCGTTGGCAGTCGTGGCCGTCGAGAACGACCGTGGCTTGCTCATCTCGAGCTCACCATCAAAGATCGACTCGCGCTTCGACACTGAGAGCGAGAGCGACATGGACGGACGCACGTAGTTGGCGCAGACGTCGAGCGTGTCGAAGCTGTCGCATTGGATGAGGAGGCTGCCGGTCGGTTCGCCGCCGTGCCAAATGGGCAGCCATCGCTCAAACGCGATCGTATCGACGGGCACTTGGACGGCGCAAGCACCGAGAAACATATCGCCGCGACCCCACGGGTCCTCGTCGTACACCTCGAGTGAGATGTTGGGGTGTCGAATGTAGTCGATCGCGCCAAACCGCGCTTCGACGTCCCAACGCGGCGCGTCTTTGCCCTTCTTGTGGACCAGCGACTTCTTCGTGTGGCCGCCGTACCGGATAAAGACGTAGGGGTGGACGACGTCCCGTATTGCGTCGAGGGACTTGAGGTCCTTCGCCTCTGGCACGCGTACGACCAAGTCCATCGTACACGGCAATTTGGCGACTGCCACATCAGGCGCGGTATCCGGATGGGGTGCTTCGAATTCGCTTAAATAAGCTGGGTGGGCCGTTTCATATTGCTCTTGGCCATGCGGAAAGGTCGTACATGTACTTGGATAAGCGAATATCTTGGAGCCGGATCCGGATTTTGGAATCTTGCTGGAGGATGCAACGCTCGACGTCACATTCTGTACCCGAGCCAGCGCAAGCACACAACTGCATCGAGTATCTTGATGCAACTGCTCGACACTGTCATTGTGTCGGCAAAGTATCTACTGCATTGGAGATTCAATTGCTCTTGGAGAAGGAATCTTGACGTTTAGTTGGTAACAGTGAAGGTGGAGGATACGTCGCTTGCCCGTTGCTGACGCACTTGCTCGCACACCTCGCGTTGAGCTCTGACAACAGTAGCCTCATACATCGATGGCGCAAAGAAAATACTACAATAGTACTGTCATGAAACATAGGACGTTATTCATGTCTAAGCCAAGCAGCTTCGATTGCTTGGCTAAGCTCAGTGTCGTCCCGAGCAGCTGCGCGGCTTTTTGACCCTCGGCGACACTTTGCGCAAAGCGAAGCATGCTCGGACGGTGCGCTTCAAACTTGGCAACGACGCTGTTGGCCGCGTCCCAGCGCTCTTGTCGCTGCTGAAGCCCGGCCTTGAGCGACGATTCAAGCGTGCGGAGGCCACTCTTGAGCTCAGATGGCTTCAACTGCATGGAGTTGACAAGGTACTTGGTGTCCATCACACACGAGAGCGCCGCATGGTCCACGTAGCGGTCCACCTCGGCGAGGCTGTTGGACACGTGTTCGCGCACGGCGCACTCACGCGACGCCTCGGCACCCCGCTGCGTGGCTCGATGGTCGCCGCCACACACCTCCGAGGTCCGACGCCTCCTTGTCGTCGCTGGTCAAGAGTCGAAGCTCATCGGGGGTGAAGACACCGCTACCGTAGATGACGGCATATTCGAAGTGTGGCACTTGCGTGGCGAGCGGCGGCTTGGCCTTGCGCGCCTTGACCAAAATAGTGTCAAAGATGCCGTCAAAAGACGCCAGTGTCTTCTCGGGGCCGTGCGTAGCGTTGTTGTCGACAATCACGCCTTGGAGGTGCATGGAGGCCTCGATCGCTTGCGGAGCGTCTCGGTGAGGCCGCTGTCGTCGTTGGCTGGGTTTTCCATTGGGTCGTTCCAAGTGATTGTTGGGCTCACTATGCGACGTGATTGAATTTGACTATCTTTGAGTGAATCCAGATGAATGTCCGAGCGTTCGAGACAAGCCAATTCCACTCGAGACAGAGCCGTTGAATTTGCATGAACTCTTTGTGAGTGCCTATAATTGTTCGAGCAAGCTCATATTTCGTGTTTCGCTGTTTCCTCGCAAACGACGCATAGATCGACTATGCTACTAACTTTTATAACCACTCTAGCCATTTTGCTATCTTGTGGGCGAAACTTGTTGTCTGCTGTGTGCGTGCGCTCTTGGGTCAATCAACTTATCTGTTTCTTGACCCTTTGATTGGACAAAATGAAGTTAACATCTGCATTCTCATTGGTATGTACAGAAAATATTTGCACTGAAGTCCAAGTGCTTACCACCTATGCGTCTCGGCGGCACCGATCGAACGCCCCAAGAGACTAAGATGATCACATATTAATACGTACAACAACTAGGGCGTCGCCATATATTTGACGAGCTCGTCCACAACTTCGGCTGCGGACGGGCGACGCATCGCTTCTCCGGCCATGCACTTTAGCGCCAGCTCACGATACCAGTGCGGGCACGACGCACTCAGCGACGGCCGCAGCGCGCCTGTCACGATCTGTGCGACGCGGCGCTGGAGATTTCCTCGGAAGTCCCAGTACGGCTCGTGGCCCGTCTCGAGCTGCGTCAAGAGCACACCGAGCGAGTAGACGTCTGACGCGGTCGACGGCAAACTGCCGTGGAAGATCTCAGGCGCCATCCAATGCGTGGCACTGCCGCCATTGGTCGTCATCATGTCTTCGTCGCGCACGTAGCCAAAGTCGGCAAGCTTGGGGATGCCGGTAGCATCAAAGAGGACATTCGACGGCGTGAGGTTGCCGTGCACCACCTTCTTCTCATGCAAGAACGCCAGAGCCTCGGCGAGTGCCAGCGCCGTATCAAGGAAGTCGGCGTTGGCGCGCTGCTTGAGCCACGTGTGGAGGTTGCCGCCACCCATGTGACCCATGACGAGCACGCAAGGCGACGCAAGACCAAAGATGGTCGTGTTGGAGAGAGACGTCGTGCCGAGAAGAGGCACAGTGTGAGGTGACGCGACTGCCGTCATGACGTCCACGGTCGCCTCAAAGACATCCGGATTCATATATGGAAACGACTTGAGGACAACGGGGCGGAGCGCGAGCGTCGCACGACCAAGCACGCCGCTCTTGCTGGACGTGAACGGGACAATGTCACGTAGCAGCTCCTCGGGAATCGGTTGAAAGCAGGGCGGCGACATGTGGGCCTCGAGGATGCTGACGGCAGCGTTGGCCGATGGCCGCTTGGTCGTATCAGCTTGCATGCAAGCCTGCGCCAGCCGCGCGTACCATGACGGGCAGTGAGCGCTCGTCGTTGGCCGAAGCCCTTGGATGATCTGGCTTTGCAGCAAGTACTGGTTGCACCTTTGGCCCGCATACGGTCTTTGCAGCGTCTCGAGCTCGGTGAGAATGACGCCAAATGCGTACATGTCGGCCGCGACCGAGTACCGGCCGCCTTGCATGACCTCGGGCGCCATCCATAGCGTCGTGCCGACGCCGTTGGTCATCGACTCTTCGACGTCTTCTTCGCGCGAGATGCCAAAGTCGCCGAGCTTGACCACTCTCTTGTCGGCGCTGAGTAGCACGTTGGCCGGTTTGAGATCGCGGTGGATGATCTTGTTGGCGTGCAGGTACGCGAGGCCTTTGGCGATGTCGCAGGCGAGAGGCAGCACGTTGCCCACGTCGTGTTCTGGCGCCGTGGCGAGCGACTGGATGTGCGCATCGAGGTTGCCGCCGTCCATGTACTCCATCACGATCTGCGGCTGGTCGTACTCGGCGTGCGAGATACCGAGGAGCTGCACCGTATGCGTCGAGTCGAGACTGGCCATGACGTTGACTTCCTTCTTGAACGTCTCGATCTCGTTGCCGCTCTTGGTGTGAAACGTCTTGACAGCCACCGTCAAGTCCTTGTAGCTGCCGCTGTGCACGCTGCCAAAGGCGCCGCTGCCGAGGTTGAGGCACCTGCGTAGCTCGGTCGGCTCAATGCGCGGCACCGTCTCGGGGAGGTCTGCTGCGAGCTGCAGAAACGTGTCGCTGAGAGAGCTCGTGCGGCGCATCGGGAGCAAGTACGGGGCCACTCGCGGTGGCGCGACCTCGCTCTGCTCGGCAACGCAGTCGATGTGCACGAGAACGCTGCCCGTTGTGGCGTTCTCGAGTGTGATCGGCACCCACGATTCGACGCGCTTGGGCCGCGCGGGCACCGCGACCTCGCAAAAGCCGATGAACATCTCGCTGCGGCCCCACTGGCCTTGGTCGAAGACGTCGATGCGAACCTTGCTGTCGGTCGCCGGGTCGATTTTGGTGAAGCGCTTCTTGAGGCCCCAGCGTGGCGCGTTCTTCTGCTTGTGGGCGACGTCGGACGTGACCTTTTTGCCCGCGTAGTAGAGGTAGGCGTAGGCATGGTTGACGCTGCGGAACATCTTGTTGCTCTCGAGGTCCTTGGCCTCGACGACGTGGACTCTCACGAGCATACTAAGTACTGGACGTGGGCGGCGTCCGGGCAGTTGTAAAGTGGTGGCCACACGAAGCTGCTGCCGACCGGATCGACTGCGGGATCGTGCAGTGGATTGTTTCCCGCATCCACATTGCCATCCGACCCAGTATCTTTGTACTCGTGCAAGCGAATTCCAAGCATCTATGTACTCATGCAAGCGAATTCCACGGTCCGAGTACCATGAAAGCGTATTTTTATCCGGAGGATGGACATATATGCGGACGAATTGTTTGTTCATCGCAGGCATGATCACCATATGACGCAACCGCGTGCAATGTGGCCAGAGATGGGAAGCGACCGATCAGGCGCCCGATACGCGTTCGAGAAAACAAGGACAGAGCTGGCAGTCCTGGCTTGAAGCTTGTGATCGTCCATGCAGTCGTCCATGTCATTCTAAGGATCGTGTCGTGGCTGCACTCGGCGGCAAGACCACCAGCTGCATTCCTCGTCAATGATGTGAGCCAAGGAGACAAGGGCTCTTGTGGAGCGAGCGGTGGCAGGCGTGAGACTTGTCGATCGCAAATCGAAACGACGTTTGCGATCTTCTTAAATTGGCTTGATATTTTTGGGGCGCATTTTCTAGCTTAAGAGAGACTGCATGTCAACGCACGGGGCTGTCAACGGCAAGAATTTGTTTCAACTGAGGAGAAACATAAATCGCGGGCAATGTTTTTACGACCTAGGTGCCGCTGCTGATACTGCGCCAGGAGTTTGCGTCGGCTGGAGGACCATCGCAAGACAACCTGCAAACGGGATTCGGTAGTTGAGCCAGTGGGCGTCCACACTTTTGCACTTGTATAACGAGTCAAAACTTGGTTCTATAAGAGCCATTATACATTCAAACTTGCACCGCGCCCTTCGTGGTACTCGTTGTCTTCAAACATTGTCAAAGCGCGGGATTTGTGGGGGTTTGTGTCGTTGAGTGTCGTCGCGTCGATGCCATTTCCGCATTCGTCGTCGTGTTCATCCACGGTCGAGCCCTCGGACGGACACCGAGGCGAGAGTTCGGCAACACGGGGCGGTGCTTCACTGTCCGGCTCATCGTGGTCTGCCTTTGGCGTCAAAGTCAGCGCGCTCAGGTGCTCTAGGTCGCGCTCGACGTCCGCGGCACACCATTGCGCGGTCGCATCCACAAACACGAGGAGCTTCCCGGTCGTAACGTCGTTTTGAGAGAGGAGCGCGGGTTCTTGGAATGGAAGTCCGTGTCGAGGCATGCGCAC